AACTATTGACCTTATTTGTCCAGAGCAAGGAAGAATCAATAAAAACAAAAACTAAAGAAACAATTAATCCCAAGGACTACCTGACTGGGTAAACCATGCTTTTTATTACCCAGATGCCACAAGAACTAAAAGGTCACTACCATTACTAACTGCTCTGGCCAGAGTCACACCAGAAAATCTTGGACAAAGGTGGAGAAAAATAATGTCAAATATTCAAAATAATTGAAAAGATCAGATGTACTTATCTGATAGATACTGGCACAACCTCTAAAATTATGGCCCTTTGACACCCTTCTAGCTTGGAGGTTGTTCCCCTGAGGGGGTGCAAATGTTGGCCAAAGGATAGGCTTGTTACGTGAATAATAGCACCAAGGAGAAACATACTCCTTAGAACAATCAATCATATGAGACCAAAATGACAACATTTGCCCAAAAGAAAATTACAGAAAGCAAATAGGAACAGGACAAAAGGAAGAATGCAAAAGGAATATCAAAGGAGGGAGTGAGAAGGCTGCTTTTATATTGAGGGAATTGCAACAAATTCATGAAACAAAATGTGTATAAATTATTGAAGGCAAAATTAATTTACTTTTTAAACTTTTACTAAATAAAATTAAAATCTTAAAAAGAAAGAAAATACCCTCCAAACCCTAAGCTTTTACCTCTGGCTAATTTTCAGACTCAGTGTAAGCAGGAAGTGAAGGTTGACAAATCATTGGAGTTCCAACATAGTCAATCTTCAAATACTGAGTGTTTCCTCACACTCCCCTGTCCCCAACAAAACACGCACAGATTTTTTTTCCTTCTTCTTCTTCTTCATCCTCCTCCTCCTCCTCTTCTTTTTTGTACTAATGTCACTGAATTGTACACATGAACATGTTAAAATGGTGAATTAGAGCAAAATTAAAAGATTAGATTTTACAAGTTTAGAAAGATCACTAAACCACTAACTTCAACCCACATCATGCAAAACAAATCTGATTTACAGAGTGTGGTAGCTATATAATCTCTTGTCAATTTGAGGGCATTAAGAGTGAAGGGGTGGGGTTTAGCCTGTCAATCAGGTTGCAGCATGATGACCACATTTGTAGGTACTACAGAGATGAATAGCTCACTAGACGCTGGACTCACTATCTCCCCTCTGCCTTCCCTTTCCTGCTGTTGAGACAGAGAACTGGAGGAGCCATATAGACCCCATGCCATTGTTGAGATGCTGCCACCGCCATGGGATCCACAAAACTTTATTCCTACCAGCCTGTGATCTTTCTGCATTTGGCAGTCTGAAGAGGTATTTATGGACTAGTATTGGACTTGTGGGCTAACATTGGACTTGTGGACTTGATCTGGACTGGGCTGGGATATTTACTCAATATTCAATTGCCAATTGCTCTTAGATCTACACACATATAAGTATCTCTGGATTTGTTTATCTTGTCAATGTGGAATAACACACAGTTACCATATTATTGTATCAAAAATGATCAGTTACCAACAACAAAAATCCAATACATATAAATAAACAAAAATAATCCGACCTGTTAACAGGAGAAAATGGTAACTATACAAGGAAAGTAGATAAATTGGACTTACTAGATGAAGTCTGATTCAATAATTTGAATATTCTCAAAGAGCTAAAGGAAGACATGAATAAGAACTAAGGAAATCCATGAGGAAAAAAAGAAAGACACATTTCAAAAAATAGAGAATCAGTAAAGAGAGAAAGTATAAAAAGGAACCAAACAAATATTCTGGAGCTGAAAAGCACAACAGAAACTTAGAAATTAACAAAACAATTTCTATAACAGATATGAGGAGGCAGGAGACATATTAAAATAATTTGAAGACAGATCAATTGGAATTACCTAGTCTCAGGGGTAGAAAGAAAAGAAGGATGAAGCAAAATTAGCAGAGTTTAAGAGACCAGTGGGACATCATCAAGCATACCAACACATACGTTATCAGCATCCCAGAAGGAGAAAAGGGAATAAAAAGTATGAGTAGGATATTTGAAAAGAAATGGCCCAAACATCCCCAATTTGATAACACATATGAATCCATCCATCCAAGAGACCCAATGAATTGTAAGAGATAAGTACAGAGATTTATACCAAGCCACATTATAATCAAATTGTTGAAATCCAAACACGAATAGAAAATTCTGAAAGCAACTAGAGGAGGTAGTAGGAAAGAAAGACAAATGAGAATGGGGAAGTAAAACGGTGAAATGAGTGTTGCTGCAACGCTGAGGTTCTTTCAGCTATTGTTATCAAACACAAGTGCATAAATCGATGGATGGAAAATTGACTCACTGTGTAAACTTTCACCCAAGTCAAAAAAGAACCCCATAATTTGTGGAAAATAGAAACGGTTGACTCTTTTTATTCAAGTTTCAGTGATACACATATCAGTTTATTCATAATGCTATTGTGCACAATGTTTAATTTGATAGGATAGGACCCTGTGAGATCAGAGAGAAATGGAAGATCATGGGAAGTTCTTCCTAGAAAAGTAGATTTTCTTTTTATGGACTCTCATACCTAATTTCTCCTATCATAGTTCTAACATCACTGAATATTTTATGATTGTCTGTATATTCCACTAAACTGATAAGCTCTTGAGCCTTGGAATGCATGAGGCTGTTCCTAAATACTCTCTTAGCTAAGTGCCCAGACCTGAAATACAGTGGTTGCTTGGCAAATAGTTGTTGATTACATATTGAAATGACATGTTACATATTTATTATAGTTATGTTTTGATTACAAAAATGGCTACTTAACAATATATTACATAAAGTCAGTATGAGGATTAACTTAACAGTAAGTAAAGAACTTAATCCTAAGATTAAGACATTGAGATCCTACTTCCTTTGATATTTATATATAGGAGTCTAATTCATCATAAAATGATTATGTCCAAAGCCTCTAAAATTAACAAATAGTATTATCCAAGTAACATCCAAGGGATTATAGATGGACTTGTCATAAGGCACAAGTTATTTTCTTTGAGTTATCTTAATACACACCTATATGGATAGAAGACAATGCCAAGAATTATTAGATGATTCATTCAGTTACTCAAGTATGAGTTATTAATCAATTCTCCCTTTTGATATTTTAGCATCAACCCATGAAAAAATTATTTGAGTTCTCTGAATATCAGTTTGGTCAATACAAAAGTTAACTTTCCTTTATGTTTGTGTTTTAAGGATACAGGAACATTTACAACTCACCATAGGAGCTGAATCTATTGAGTCAAATACACATCCTATTATCAAGAGGAAGAATCCATTTCATAAAGAGAGGAAATAATTATATAAAAAGCTATTTTCTATGAAAATGTACTAATTTAACAGCCAAATGTATATTAATTGGTAACACTAAGGTTTATGCTTACATCAGGCAAAGTTTAACCATAGGTGTGTATTTTTTTCACCTGTAATATAATTTCTGTCATCAACTCTCACTGATATGCATTCATCTGTGGAAAAGAAAAATTAAAAACAATACATAATAAAAATAAAAGTATATATTTTTAAAATGTTGAAATTCTGTTTTTTTAATAATCATTTTATTGGGGGCTCATACAACTCTTATCACAATCCATACATACATCCATTGTCTCAAGCACATTTGTACATATGTTGCCATCATTGTTTCCAAAGTATTTTCTTTCTGTTTGAGCCCTTGGTATCAACTCCTCATCCCCCCCCCCTTTTTCCCTCCCTCCCTCATGAACCCTTGATAAATTTACAAATTATTATTATTTTTTCATTTCTTGTACTGTCCGGTGTCTCCCCCATCTCTCTGTCTGTTGTCTATACCCCTGGGCAAGGGTTATAGATAGGTCATTGTGATTCATCTGGGGAAGGAAGAAGTGAAATGATGTTTTTATTTCTTCTCTCAGACTTCCAAAATCAGACCCAAGAAACAGATGCTCTGTCTGATGTCTTGAACTGTTTCTCCTTGATGGTTCACCTCTGATTAGTAAATGAAATTTCATTTTTATGTGACTAAGAAAAATCAAACTATTAGGATAAATCTAGTTTATAAACAAATAAACATATAAGATGAGGGGGGAAATTGCAGTATATATTCCCAAATGTATGTGAGGGTTTGTGTGTGTGTGTGTGTGTGTGTGTGTGTGTGTGTGTGATTGATGCTGTAACATCCAGGGGATTCCACCTCATAACAGCTCTGTATGACCGAGTAGACCTGCCTTGCGGGGTTTCTGGGGCTGTAATCTCTATGGGAGCAGATTGACAGGTTCTTCTCTCACGGCGCAGCTGATGAGTGTGAATGGAATGCTTACTCACTTTGTCACCAGGGCGCTCTCTCTACATAAGCATATAAAGTCCCTGGTGGTGCACATGGCTAATATACTTGGCTGATAATCGAGTATAATGTTGGAAGTTCAGGTCCACCCAGAGTCACCTTGGAAGACAGACCTGGTTATCTACTTCCAAATACACCCAGCCATTAAAAGACCTATGGAATTCAGTTCTACCTCTGACCTTCATGGTCACCATGAATATGAATTGACTTGACGGAAGCTATATGATTTATAAGGATTACTGGTGGTATAGTCGTTAAATGTTAGGTTGCTAACCACCAGGTCAATAATTTGAAACTATCAGCCCCTCCTTGGGAGAAAAATGAGGCTTTCTTCTCCCATGAAGAATTACAGTCTGGGAAACCCACAGGGGCAATTATACCCTGTTCTATAGGATTGCTATGAGAAAGAATAAACTCAATGATACAGAGTTGAATTTTTGAGTTTTTGGATATGTTTTCAAATATATACATTTAAATATTTGCATATTTTATATACACACTCGTGCACAATCATATACATACGTCGTTTTGTGGACATCAGTAATTGTTTATAATAAAATTCATTACAGATTATATCAATCTAATAAAATTGAACCATTGACTAGACTCATTTAAAAATAACATTTCCTTGAATAAGCAAGACCAGAGAACTCTATGCAAAGCTGGGATTCAGTGAAAAGCCAAACATTGATTCCGCAGTTTCTTCATAGCTGCTTTCATTTCCTCATTTCTCAATGTGTAAATTAGTGGATTTAAGAGTGGTGTAAAAATGGTGTAAAACACAGACAGAAGTTTATCCACAGAGAACCTACTGAAAGGCCAAAGGTAAATGAAAATGCAGGGTCCAAAAAAGAGTGTGACCACCATAACGTGCGAAGAGCAAGTAGAAAGCGCTTTGCATACTCCTCCTGCTGAACGCTGCCGGACAGTGATGAGGATCACAGCGTAGGAAATCATTAAGAGCAGGAAACAGCTCATGGAAAGTAATCCACTGTCTGAGATCATAAGTATTCCCAAGACATAGGTGTCCATACAGGCAAGCTTAATCACCAGAGGGAGGTCACAGAAGAAGCTGTCCACCTCATTGGGGCCACAGTAGGGTAAATTCACAGTAAAGGCTATTTGGCTGATGGAGTGCACAAATCCAATGGCCCACGAAACCAATACAAGTCCAATGCAAGTACGATGGCTCATCATGGTCATATAATGCAAAGGTTTGCATATTGCCACATACCTGTCATAGGCCATGGAAACTAGCAACACCATCTCAGCACCACCAATAAAGTGCAAGAAGAAGATCTGAGCCATACACCCCCCAAAGGAGATGAGCTTCCGATCACTAAGGAAGTCTCGGATCATCTTAGGGGTGGCAAATGAGGCCAACCACATATCTAGAAAAGATAGGTTCCCCAGCAGGAAGTACATGGGGGAAGAGTACAAGCGGGAGTTAGAAATGACAGTGGCCACAATGAGGAGATTCCCTAACATAATGGCCACATAAAGTCCAGAGAAGAATATAAAGAAGAAATATTGGAGATGTCGTGAACTGCAGAGTCCATGCAACACAAATTCTGACACCAAGGAATAATTCTGTAGGTCCATTGTCTCAGATCTCAGATTTTGTTGTTGTTGTTGTTGTTGTTTTTTTGTTGTTGTTTTGTTTTAAAACATTTTATTAGGGGCTCATACAACTGTTATACCAATCCATACACACATCAATTGTGTAAAGCGTATTTGTACATCATTTCTTACTCAGATCTCAGATTTAATTTCGAATCTATAATAAACAAAAAAAGACAAAAGTGAAATTCCTACCAACTACCAGGCACATAGAAAGGAATTAAGCAATTATCTGAGTATAACTCTTAATTTGTAAGATACACAAATCACACAGAATACAGAAGACTAAAAGAAAATCCATACCTACGCATATATTTCCCTTTTTCAGACTTCAATGTTTTTTTCAGGAGTATGTGCACTTCTGTGTGAGACTCCAACGTAGGAGAGAGTTGGCAGAATATTTCCCTCACTCTCATCTACGATCATTGTCTATGGGGAAAGGTGGAATCAATAAAGTGCAGAGTATGAACTGAAAATCTTTAGGAAAGTTGAGAATGTGAAGATATTCTGAGAAGAATGTTCTCCCCATCTATGCCAATATTGTTACCATTGGGTAATTATTTTTAAGCATCCTATGTAGGAATTGAAATTAAAGCTTAACGAAATGCCTTTATGTGAAACAAATAAGATTGAATTCTTCCTGTACTCCCTCTCCATTTACTTACACAAGCACAAAACAAAGTGAACACAATATCTTGGTGCTTGACTAAATCTGTTTATCTGGACACTTATTTATATATACAGATTTTCTTTCCTGAAGCCAACAGATACATAGATTTTAAATGAGCACTGAGTGTAATTATTCACAAATAGTTCCACAAAAGAGGCAAAAATGTCCTTCTTATGAACCTTTTAATGCTGGCTATTTATAAATTGTTTAACAAAAATTAAAGGATGAAATATTTCTTTGAGCTGAAAAAAAGGCATTTCTTGGAAATAAAACCAAGCACGGTAAAGCATAGATAGACGATAGTTTCCAGATCAAGGGCTTAAGTTATATCCATTTCTGGTAATTATGTGAGAGTGTGTCATTATTATATATGAATTATGGAGTGACATATGTTGTATTATTTTATAATATCTGTGAGGAAAATTTACATAAATAATGGTACAGTTGAATTAAGTCTTAATTTAAATAGTTAATATATATCATCAATATGAATAACTTTTATTAATCGTAGGTTACAAGACCCTTCTCTCAATCTAGTTCTGTTAAAAATTATTTATCAACAGCTTAGTAATGGCAAAATTACCAAACTTATAGGTGACAAATTTGACAGAATTAATTTATGGATTATTTCAAAGACTAGAAATATGGACTGTAATCTGAAATTTTCATACAGAGAAAGAGAAAGGAAGGGAGAGAGTATAGACAGATATTTTCCTATATAAGTATGTAGAATATTATGATATAATATGTTATTATTGCATTATTATGATATGATTATAATTGCAACATTTTATTAATAATATTAATAAAATTGTGGCGCTTCTACTAAACTGATTTAAAAATAATGTTTTCTCTCTGAAAAAAAAGAATGATATAGTTTGCTGTGGTATTTATGACTAAATAGATCCTAGAAGAATCTAGGATCTTCAGAAGAACATGACTCAGTTTCTAATGAAATTCAGCTCAAGCTATTGCTTCCTAACAAGAAATGCAGCACTGATTTCTCCCATGTTAAGCCTCCTTTGAAACTTACTTTATTGTTGTTTTTCTTTCAACATTTTATTAAGCTGAAATTAATTTACCATAAAATTCAAGCACATCCAAACTACAAAGTTCGGCGGATTTTAGAAGGTTTGTGAAGTTGAACAGCCACTCCCATAGGACTTGCTTTGGGACCAACAAGCTCAGTTCATTCCAGAGTGACTTCTGCCAGGAGCCCGACTGGCTTCTCCTCACTCGTTCACGTACACACTCGTCCATTTGGACCATATTTACATAACACCAACATAGTTTTTAATCTCAACTAATTAAATATCCCCACTCGATTCTTTGCATCAATGCAACTAATATAAATTAATTAAAATAAATGAATTACAGTACGTTTTATGAAATTCTGTGTTAAGTCACAGGTTTAGAACTAAAAAGTCATTGATCTAATTCATTTATACATTCACTATTTATAAATTGATGATTTTAAAAGAGTTTTAAGATGACTTTTAACGAAAGAGAATTTTCAGGACTTCTGAATAAGGGTTAGCTATGAAATGTATGCAATAAATTTGGGGGAGAAAATTGTTTCACAATTATATATGAATCAGTGATAAATTCAACATTTCATTTAAAATGTAGCTCTGAGCCTACAAATGAAGTTGAGTCCGATGTAAAGCTCTCATTATCAGTTTATCATGACAAATAAATTAATCCCCACTTTCATCACTAAAAGGAAGATATTGGGTTAATATTTTATAATGAGTATTAAACAGAATTCTTCATGAGCAATTCCACAAAAGATGAAAAATCTTCATATGAGAACTTTTATGTTGGTTATTCATAATACTTAAGACTACAATGTGAAATTATAGTTTTCTAGGGCTTCCGCTGGGAATTAAAATTATATAGCCCAGATTTGAAACATTCTAATGACATGAACTTGATACAGAAATGTAAAATCTGGAAAAATCAATGTTTAGCATATCTGTTTTGTTCATTCAAATAGCATTCATTCAGCCATACTTTTTCAGGATAATGAATACTCAAAATGTCTTTGAATTTGAACTTTTATAAATGCATTATGTGAAAACGTTTAATTGTAGTATTAAGCACTGTCAAATCGGAAGATAAATGTCTTTTCGTTAACAAAATAGATATACTGGTAACCACACTTCAGGAACTCCTCACAATTTTACTTAGATTCCCAGACATCCATCCTGACATACTAAAAAGCCAAAAAATAAGCCAGCGCCGTTGAGTTGGTTCGGACTCAGAGCAACCCTGTAGGGCATATTTGAATTGCTCTGCAGGATTTCCAAGGCTGTAATATTTAGGAAGCAGATGGCTCCTCCTTCTCCAAATGAAAGGCTGGTGGGTTTGGAATCTCAGACCTCTGAGACAGCAGGTAGGTGCCTAACCACTGTACCACCAGGATGCCTTAATGTGCTTATTACAAACTATATGAAACCGTGTTTTTGTGGAGGAATTTCATATGCAAATACAATTCAATCATGTTTAGATTGGTGTTTTCCAATTTTACATTGGAAAATTGAAATAATAAATGAAAAATTGAAGAAAAAAATGAAGGCATTTTTAATACTGAGTCAAAGATGTTCTGAAATTAGATTGTGGCAAGGGTTGCACAATCCTAAAAAATGTATTAAAAAAGAAATACATTAATTATACACTCACAGTGGGTATGGAAATTACACAGAATAAATCTCTTTTGAAAAGAAATATTAAAATCAATGAAATAAAATAGACTCAAGTATGTTTCTAATTTCAGATAATTCACTATAATTCACAAAACCTTTTTAACATGAATAAACAAATGTCAACTTTGTAATTAGGAAAAGTAAGGTTGATTCTATGGAGAAACAAATGCTAATCTATAATTAAAAACAAATATTATCTATGATGATAAAATTTAACTTTAACTGATGAGTTATTATTATTAACTCCAATGATTTAATACAAATTATAATAGAGTAAATTGGTCACTGTTTTAATTTTGTGAACAGACACTCTTTAGGTACATATATATATATCAAAAACTCTTTACTAACCTGGGATTAAGTCACTCAGTACTGACACTGACAATTCCCCAACTTGAATCTCAAGTTCGCCATACCTGAGTGCACCTTTTGAAAATTTGCATTGTTCTATTCCACAGAGAACTTTAGCAGCTATTTCATCTACCTTAAGGAAAAAAAATAATCAGGCAAAGCTTTTTAAGGAACTAGGCACTTTAGATATTTGAGTCCTATTTGTACTTCAGATATAAATCTCTCATCAAACTCTGAATCCTTTAATGATGGACCATTCATGGCCAACTGCAGTAATGGAAGCTGGGGAATAAACTATTTTAGGATGGGAATTTGTGGTAATGAAGCATGGTTATTTCCCCAAGTAACAAAGGAAGAAGATTTAAAAATGTGTCAGATCATACAAATAAATTTAGCAATTATTTTAATATTTAAGTACAATAATAGGTTCTGTTATCTAGTTGGTAGAACATAAAGTACATTTTAAATTAATCAAGTTAATAAGTCATAATAAAAATATCCTAAAAGCTTGCCAATATCTCATATTCTTTTTATTTCTTATCATTTTATTTTATTAAGGATATGCATATTAACATACACTAGTAGTTTTTACTTGGAGCCCTGGTGGTATAGTGGTTAAGCATTGGGCTGTGATCCCCACAGTTGGCTGTTTAAAAACAACTAGCTGCTCTGTGGGAGAAAGACTGGCCTTTGTACTCCTGTAAACAGTTGGTCACAGACACCCACAGGGTGTCTTTAAGCCAGCACTGACTGGATGGCAGTGAGTGAGAATAGCGTTTTACATGTACAACTACTGATGCCAATTACGTTCTTTGTACCACTTTGTACCTTTTCCAAGTTGTCTATCCCCTTACTAATAAAAACTCACTGCCACATAAGGTTTCTATTTAATCCTTGGAAATGTTGGGTCAGTTTGATCCCATGTAGACATTTCTTAAAAGAGCATAATATTGATAGATATTCTTCACTGGTTAAGCTAAACTATTGCTTGGCTTTAAGAAAACTCCAGGAAATATTTAGGATTATAATTTTTAAGATTTTAATATCTTTACAGATAACTGTGACTATACTTCATTGATACTACATCAAAACTTGACAAATGGTAATTTCTCACAGATTAGTCAAATGAAGACTCAAATCACATTAATAAATGTTGCATACTGTTACAATAAAACCAATTGGAGTATAGTTTCAGCCATGCATAATTTTGGAACATCACTTGAAAGATTCACCAATACCATATAGCTCATGCTTGTTAGTGTCACCACTTGCCTCATCTGAAAAGAGGCTGCCAAGTTCATTGTGGTAGAAGAGTTTTATCCATAATCATAATTTCTGTGCAAGAGTCAACATTTTGTCATGGCAGCAAACACTGCCAGTTGTGTTTTTGGAGTCTCTATTCATTCAGAAAATGGCTTTGTGTCAAATGCTTAAGTTTAAATAGCCATCATTTATGAGTTAATTAGTTTATTTGCTAACTTGGCC